GTCATTGATGTTTCCTTCAGATTGATATATTTGAACAGAAACATTGATGTTCTCATCGTCATCGAAGTGTCGAATTCTTACAATAAAAATAAAATTCCCAGCCTCTATTTCATTTGTGGATTGCTGACAATCAACAGCCATTGACAAGTGTCACTGTTGTCGATCTCCAGGTGGCAGGAGACCTTTTGCTCTTCGCAACCTTTCACCAATGTGGTTACATTTTTTATTATTTTGTAGATGGTAATATCGTTAAACCGTAATTTGAACCTTGACTACATATTAATACAATAAGAAAATTAAGATGATAGTTAAATTTAAGGTACAATATACTTTAAACTAACGACGAGTTATGCACCTTATTAGAAACAGGTCATTTTTACTTTGAAATGTTTCATCGATATTTGAACCATCTATGTTTTTGTTGATGTTTTCATCAACATCGATAACCTTTCGGTGAGATACCGAAGTACCGATGAACGATGTTTGGCTAAAATTTGCCATCTAGTGGCTAGTGACGCCATCTAAAACTAGTGACGCCACGTGGAAGGCTGTAGTGCTCGTACCAATGTCTGACACTGTGGCGCGACGTCACTCGGAAAGCCGAGAGCACTCGCAAGACTCACTATGCGGGAGCCGACGGCGTCAAACCCGCTTGAGAGCGATGAAGCGAAGCCGTGCGCCGAGGAGAGTGTGGAGGAGAGCGTTCCGTGTGTGCGGCAGGGCGGAGGCGGCGCGGCGGCCGTGGCCCGATCAGCAGCGCTCGGGGCTGACTGCGCGCGCGCAGAAGATCGCGCGCAGCCCGCGCAGGGCGCTGCGCAAGCTCAAGCGCCTCGCCGCCTGCTCCAAGGGCAGCCTCTCGTCCTCCAGCACGCGCTCCAACTCCTCCGTCCGACAGCAGATCCTCGGTACGCAATCCCAGACGCACTTTAAACTTAAACGTGGGCACTTGCCGTTGATTCATTCTCGCACAAGAGCGAGAACAGTTTGAAAGCAATTCTTGTGCATGCTCTGAAATTTTGTTTAAACGATCACATATGGTTGCAGAGAAAATGGTTGTCTATGTAGGTGGCTGACTAAAGAATGTTAAGAGAATTTGATAAACAAACATCCAGACTAACTTCGCTATTTGCAATGACATTATCTTGGCATTTCCTGTAAAAGAAATTATTCGTCTTGAATGAACTTTGCTACTTTTGAATACATATACTTAAAACACAGTTTTAATTACCCTTCAATTAAGATATTTGCACTCTTGTTCACACTACTACAGTTGTTTATTTTAATTCATAGATTATACTCTCAACTAGACTTGAAATGGTAGCTCACGCCCTCAGAAAATTTAGGATCGAGCATGAAAGCCATTTATTATCTAAAAACTCTAATTAGACACTATATGAAACTTCACTGATACACCATCTGACATTACTTTGCCGGCGGAGGAAGATGCTGAATAAAATACCAATGTCCATCTGTTTACTTTTTATAACGTTAAGAATCAAAATCGTGAACTTGGTAAAACGTTTTGACTATATCCACACTTCCTTGGTCTACCATGGAGATTGCTCCCCATGATAGCACCTAGGTTTTAACCCTTCTCTACAGTCCCGCAGGCACACAAGAACACTTTTGGGGAGGAATCCAGATCCCGCCGGAACACAGTTACCCTTCACAGGGGAAACTCTCCAATTAAGTCTGGATGGGCCCCTTCTGGGGCTCAGAGCTACCAGCTTTCCAGAGAAGCACCGGAGTTAAATACAGCGCCACTTACAATGCACTGGGACGTATCCCTCCACAATAACACATAGGTATTTGGTCCTTTTCGACGACGCCAAGTGCCAACTAGCGGCTGCCCGGGCTAAGACCCGGGTTTCTCGGGGCCCCCAACCTGTCTCCTAAATGCCTCCTCCTTGAAGCTGTCGACGTGAGTACCTCCGGAATCTAGGAAACCTGGCAGGGAGATCCACGATCCCCGTCGAACTATTATATGTGGATCTGGGACGAGTCCTGCACTTCATCCCGCGCAAGGTCAGTACCTCCTTACCTCCACCACCTTCTTACTGCCTCCACTTTGAAGCTAATGAGTCGAGTACTGCCGAGTAACTCAGGTCCGGATGAATGTTACCTCCTTCACTAAGATCCTCAGGTCTGGCGACCGACTTGCCCCTGTGCGCGGTTTTGACTGTTCAAAACAGATTCATCTACATTGCAAACTCATTAGAACGTCTTCACAGGCTAGTACAGGTTAATGTACTAAACATACCTGTTCGATGGCTGCGAAGCGAGGTGACTGGTAAAACAGGGAATGAAGTTACGATAAGCACATGACCCGTAAAGGACATTTCCGACATCAAAACTCGTCAATGCAATATTCAAATCATCGACAATGCATATCGCAGAAATCAAACTGCACCTTGCAGACAACAAAATCTTGATCATTCGACGTCAGCGAATGAGCATGCTACAACCCATTGTGACTGAGGAAGAACGGTGTTAAGAAACGCACATGCGATACAAGCAGCCCTCGCCAGGGGAAAGGATATCCAACGCAGGGAGCACCGCAGACTACATTATATGTGACGTCCAAAATCCCAGCGAGTGACATGATATGCAACGTCCAGAATTCCATCTGGAGACACAATGTGGCGATTTCCCAGGTATGGCAATTTACAACTAACGCACGAAGACGTTCGACACGTTCATGGATATAGTCGGATAAGTCGGGAAACCTCGCGTCACGTTTTCTAAGACATGCAACGGGAACGAATCAGACCAGATTCACAAGTTGAAAAGGCTAATGCGAAACCGAGCAAAACATGATAGGTGACAACACATAGGTGACAAAACATGGTAAAACATGAGTGGTTCTCTCTTCAAAAGAAAGAACTCAGCAAGCTCTCTATGAGTACTGTCGTGGAGAAGACTCAAGATCTCTTTAGTGACACGGACGCGGGTAGACGCAAGAAGGACGAGTGTATGACGTCATCGATGAGGTTCGCAAAACCAATATGTATGTGATGGGGGGGATGCGCGCAGGCGTAACTAAAAGACCCTGGAGAGAAAAGAACAGGAAGTGAAAGATGGTGTAACCGTCTGTTACCCCTTTCATAACACAGTTGAATGAAGTGTTCCGAGAGTCGCTTTCCATCTGAATGGAATGGAAAAGATGGAGTAGACATGACAAAATTGTGGACGACTACGACACAAGCGAGAGCGCGAGTAACCTGCGAGGGGCAGCCACAAGGACTGGCCGACTCTGAAGGCGGCGAGAGAGTTACTCAGTCATCGCGGAGGATTGACAAGAACAAATAGTTGGTTTAAATAAGTCATCCAACTGCCCGCCATCATCGTTCAAAAATGTTGCACTGAGATATGAAAATTATCGTAGCCAAACTGGAGCCTATTATCTGTCAAATTTATTTCTTAATGATGTTATATACCATATGGCGTACAGAATATAAATACAAATTTATGAATACCTCCGATAAGAAAATTTGTCAATGAAATACTATTTTTAAATACTTCATGTAGTCGATGGCATTCACGTTGTCTCTAAAACATCAAATTTCAAATGCCAATAATGTGATCCTAATACGGTCAACTGTATAATAGGGAAGTTAAATGTGAATATATTCAAATTATCGTTGAAACTAGTTATAAAGTGACAGACACAAATATGACGTTAAGCTGTCAATTTCTGCTACCTTGCCCATATTAATGCAAATTCCACTGCCGGTGCTTGTGCAGTTCTTCTTACAAAGGCGCTGCCCGCGGCTCCCCTTTACCCTGCCCCATAGTAAAAACGTAAAAGCATTGGGAAACAGTAATAATTAATTTTCGTTTCATATATTTCTCTTTTTCAGCTGTACACATAAATTTACGTTCACGAAAAACTTTCCGCTAATACCAGAATTGTATTTTGTTCGTCAGGCTTGTTTCACAGCGCAGTTTCAAGAGTTTTATTTGGAGGACGGCATCTTCATCTCGCAAAGCCAGGGAAAAGACCTGGAGTTCCCTAGAATAACTACTATGACTTCCTGTTTGTATTTTACATTGTCCTAATATCGCAATTTGCTTTTACATTATGTGAACGTGGCACTGCCAGAGCGAGCACCTACCTATCGTTTCCACCGGGGAAGTGAGCTGCTGACATCAGATTCAGCGCCAATCAACGAACGTGATCATGAAGTAGGAAGCAGCGGAGTTAATATTGATTATTCTTCGGATAGACTAAATATAACATTATAAAAATGTACATCTTCAATTCATGTAAAATTGTAAAATTTAATGGAAATAGCCGTAATGGCATGTCATTTAGTGCATTGTTCTCAATAGGTACAACTTGTTTTTCTTAATTCGAGATATTGATAAATTCTAGTGTACGCTTTTAAGTCGTCTACCCCCTTGTGATGACCGTCTGCGTTTAGTGCCATCATTGCCAATGACTCTAGAAGGTCCAAGGTTGGAGTTCCGATGACCTATTTTAATAGCTAAATAGCTAGATCGAATTCAGGCACTGTTTAGATGCAAATTTCTGCGCCCACCACCTCTGATCCGTAGTCTCTTGTAGTTTGTTCACCCAATACCAGTCGAAGGCCGGAGCAGTTGGGTAATGGGGCGAGCGCGATCTTTCCTTCCTCTTCCTTTTTCTGTCTACATTTTCTTAATTAGAAACATTACTTACACGCACTACACTGCAACACATGTCGGGAGACGAGAGCTTGGCTCGTGAGGGGCGGTGCCCCGCAGGGAGAGATACCTGGAAAGGTAAATCCTCCCCAAGTCGAGATGTAGGTCGGAGCCCGACCTCATCACCCAGCGGAGGGGAGAGACCGCCATCTCCAGGTAAAAAAGCACTTGCTTTACTGACGGGTCTAAGGTCCACAGCAACTGTCGTGCCTAGAAACATCCACCCACCCATTGCAACGCACGTGTCCGCAGGCCACATCCTCAAGGAAGATAGCTCGTGGTTGACTCAGAGCGGAGCGGAGAGCGTCGAGGAGATGGTCCGCTCGTGCCGCCGCCAGCGGCCGTCGCCCGCTCGCCTCGACCACGCCCACGCCCACGCCAAAACCGGCCCGCGCAGCAAGCGCGCCGCGGAGCTTGGCGCCGCCGCCAAGGCCACGGCACCCCAGGTGAGGAACGGGGTCTAAGCGCTTCCGCTTGCACGACCACGACTTGGTAGAAGTTGGAGAATCCACAGGAAATGTCTTCTTCGGGGACTTCGATATCTCAAAACCCAGCACTATGTATGTTAACAAAATATGTCTATGAATGAGAAAGAAATTAATTTTATCAAATGTATTATTGAGGGTGTATTTCTGCGAATTATTACGATGGCAACTATTTATGTTGAAGAGAATAAGATCAAGCGAGGCTTTCGGTAGCGACTAAATCGTTTGGATGCTTTGGATAAGTTCTTGAAAGTACCTCTCAATTTTGGTTACAGTATTCAAAGTAAGAAAAACAAAATAATTGTAATAATTAAAATAATGTGACGATGTGTATAATTAAACTAACTCAGTTTTAAAAATATATTTTTTAATAAGGACCATCTCCTCTTCCTTACTCTCAAGTGCTGATCTAAATTACACACAATTTACATAGTAATACGTTGATATATAGTATTTTGCACTAATTAATTCTTTAATAATTACAATTTCCTATTATTACAGGAATCGGAAACTCCCTTTGAAAAACCTCAAAAGACAGAAACGAAGGCGAAAGTAAAAGTTCAAGGGGTTGCTAAAAAAAAGGTTAGAACTAAAACAGACAAAAATGAGACGGTCCAGTTGAACAATTCTAGAGCAACTAAGAGTGAAACTGTGTCGAGGGAAACGGAAGAAGTTCCATGTACAAAAGAGATGAACGCGAAGAAACATGATGAAACAAAACTACAAACGGAATTAAAAGCAAAACCGCCTGTAAAAACTACATCTGAAAATAAAAAGACAATAAATGCGACGGGCGAATCAGCAATAAAAATTGAGACGGCGGAAGATTCGAAAACCCCCATTGGCAACTGCAAAGCGAATGATGAAGGTGCAACATACGCAGCAAAAGCGAAAGTGTCGAAGGCGAAGGCGACTACCGAGACGCAGACGGAGGCGGAGGCGAAGGCGAAAGGGCGCGCGGACTCGAAGGAGGCGCTGCACCGCGGGGTGGGCCCTCGCGTGGCGGTCTCCCTCTGCGACGGCCGGGACTCCTGGCCCCTCAGGTAACACCACCCACAACAACGGTAACGGCAAAAGCAGTGACGACGGCAATACAACAATAATTAAAATGTATATAATCGATTTCAACAAGTGAAACACATAATATAAGTAGTTTGCAAATTATTCATATGCCCGAATAACGTATCTTAGTGCTAAGAAAGTTATAAACAAAAATGCTTAGTACGTAAGGAAGTGTATTTATTTAATGTACAGGCACGTAATTCAATTTATAAATCTACATCTCAAATAATGAGCAATAATTGTGAAAAAAGCGTAATGCATGATGAAATGAATAGTCAAGACAAAATTTACAATCTTGATTGAAAAAATGTATTATATTTCAATATTATTCTAACAAGTTTGTCACACTTGCTCCTTAAAATTTTAATCTGACCCTATCTAAATCTGTACTAGGCAGTATAAATGTTGGTGGTCGAGGTCATTTAGGAAGTCCACCCTTACTGTCATGAGTAGAGGGAGGATTTTGATGACGCTGGACATTACAATATATGAGCGAAGAAATCGAAGGCTACTCAGGAAATCTATGATGAATATTTGTTGCACCTTGTAAATATTGTTTAAAACAAATGCCATTAAAATGGTATTCAAAGCGATGAAATCAGACAAAAATTTCGTCCGAAGGTTAAAAATTACTTATTAGGGGAAATGGACGAAAAAAATGCAAAAATAATTACGTATAAAAATTGGTCGTTTTGACATAACAGAAAATGAATATCTATACTAAACAGAATTTTTCTAAAGTGAAGAGAAAAAAATGACATTTCATTACAATCCGTTCCCTAGTCACAAGTCTCGTCCTCTTTTCGGCTCTATAGTAGAAATCTTACAGCTCTCGCGTCTGTCTTGTGAGGGAAATACGAGATTGCGTGCACGGAGTAGACAGCCGAGACACACCTAAATAAACTGTTCCCACTGTAGCCGGTGCTGTAACTAACTTGTGCTTTAACCGCTTTCAGGATCTCGCAATGGCACGTGTCGGGCCACGGTCAGATCGTGCTTAGCTGCTCGCTCTCGCAGCACTCGCAGTTCGGCGCGACCCCGCGGCACTTCGAGGTACATCGGCGCAGCGGAGTAACCAAGACACTTTCCCCTATCACTAAGGCTGGGGCAACATATTAACTGAAAAGTACCATATGACAAGCTTTGCTTTACCGCAGAAATAAGAATGAAAACATGTGGAGATGACAATACGTAATTATCCATTCATGCCACCACAATAATCACGAGGCTAGATCTAGCCACAATTCGACCTAGCTATCTAACCAGCGTCGAGAATCCCCCCCCCCAGGTAGAGGCACAACATCAGAGGACATCAGTTGATGCCCTGACCCACCTCTCCCGGTTATCCTACAGAAACTCAACTGAATTTCAAAGTAATATCTATCGATGTGCTTCTTAATAATTGTCTGGTTTTTTCCTGTTATCCAACAAGAGAAGTACCAAAGAGTTGCGGTGCTTCCTCTGCTGCTCTCTGGAGTTGTAGGGGCTATTACTTCAACACTTTGTTCCTAAAGTCCCGGGTACACTATGGAAACTCAACTGAATTTCAAGGTAATATCTATCGATGTGCTTCTTAATAATCGTCTGTTTTTTCCTGTTATCCAACAAGTGAAGCACCAGATAGTTGGGGTGCTGCTCAAACCTCTGCTGCTCTTTGCAGTTGTAGCTGGTTATTACTTCAATACTTTGTGCCTAAAATCACTCAAGGATTGCATTAGATATCTAAGGCTTACATTGGTGCTAAGACAGCACGACTCACATTTTTCGAAAAATTGTACATGACCTTATTTCGATATGTATCTTTAAGGAACAGTTTTCAATCAGGAGAAACACACGACCTTCATAATTGTAGTTGTCGAAAGACGCCGCAAAATATTTGACATTTTTTTAATGCTTGAGAAATTAGAGTTTTTAACGAACATGAGACCTGCAGTATTCTTTTAAACAATCTTCACACTATCATAACAAAATTTAATCGAAAACGCTGGTGAATTTTTTTAAAAAATTTGAAAAATAGTCCCAGGGGCTTAAAGGGGCTGCGGTATCAGCCAGAATGATTGGGGAGTATCTATTTTGGAGATAATTGACCTAATGGTTTAGCCGCTAGCGTTGTTCACAGACGGACGGACAGACATTTTGTCATTTGATTTTTATGCACCAAGGACCCCAAAAAATTGGATTCTGGCTACACCACGTGATAGAAAATTTTTCTAAATTTATCAACTGGATTCATACACTTTTTAGTAACCAGGGCCCAGTAAAAAGTTTTCTGCCGAAAAATGGCTATTTTTGTGCCCAGCATTCCGTGACTTTAATTCCACTGAATAAACGGTAGCGAGAAAGTAAAACAACACGTAATAACAAGCTTTAATGGAGCATTTGTCATCTAGTAAAGCTCTGGTCATGGAAACGCCAAAACAGGGAAGGCGCTAGTTTTAATGATACTTGTATGAATTCTAATACATTGCAGAACTTCAATTGTCTACGTCTCCAATAAATACTGGGGAAGGTGGTGTTGGAAGACCTTCACAATTAGAACACCTGAAGCTTACGATTCACTTGAGACACTTAAGTGAAGCTTACGATTCACTTGAGATACTTAAGTGAAGCTTACGATTCACTTGAGATACTTAAGTTACAAGCTTAAAAGTTGAGAACATGAAATCCCAAATAGTGATGTAGGGAAGTTCAAAACCTAAAGAAAATCCCCACAAAATTAATATGGATGTCTACTAATGGCACAAAATTAATAAGTTCTGACAAGACTCTGTCCCTCACCAAAAGCAAAATATGAACTTAACAGATCCGTAAACTACCTACATCTATTATGTATATTTTTAATATAAATAGACAATAGAATATTAATGAAAGTAATTGCAAAAATTAATACGAACATTAATAATATCTCCCAAATTATACAAAAAACTTTGATATCAAGACTTTTTATAATTTAAAAATACTACAGAATCAAAGAGAATGTTGCCTGTGGCAAAATGTGTTGACCAGTGTGATTGAGTGAAGACCAATTTTCAGATAAAAATGTTCGTAACACATTAAAATCACTTTTATTTTAACTTCTGAGTATGTTTTCACAAATTTAGACTATCATATTCAACCGTCGTGTGATTCACTTCTTCAAAAGTCTGTCTTATTCTCCCTTTAATCTTATACTCATTTGAATAATTTCATTTTTCAGTGCCTCCCAGGACTGATAATGCGAGGTCAAATGCTTGCGCCATCGGGGATGTCACTATCAACATCCAGTCCATCGACACCGACATTAATGTCGTCGATAGCGTCAACTCCTTCACCGTATTCGGCTCTGTCGCATATCCCCATTCTGCCATCAATGTCTTCGCCAACACTAGCGCAACAATTGCCAGGCGCCGCCTTCATCCCGTTCGCCTCAATCCCTACCGCAGTGGCGCTGCCAGTGCCGTTCCCAGCGATGTCGACAGCAACAGCGCAAACCGCAGTCGCGCAGACAACGAAGGCACCACCGCCGACGTCACCAGTGATGCAGACACCCGCTGCAACGCCCACAGAGACGCCCTCTGTCAATCCGATGCCCGCTCCGACGTCACACCTGACTGCACCACCGATGCCTCAGACGGCATCCATGCCGACGCCCACCCCAGATTCAAAATTTATAAATACTGCCCCATTGCCGTCGCCTTCCACTCCAATCACTCCTAGCTACCAAGGTGTGTATATCATGTTAAATACATTTACATGCTTCACTTGTGCCCATTAGTAGAAAAACACAATAACAGTAGTTTTGTTCCATCAGTGGTAAGGAGTTTTACCAAACTTAAAAAAATTATTAGTCAAAACAACCATAGTAAATATACGCATTCAAATATGATCGAGATTGTACTGTTTATCTAAATGCTCTACAGATTAATATTTCCTTCCTAAGGAACATTTATTGTTGCTGAGATCTAAATATAGATTTGCTATTTTATATTTTTTTCACTGTCTCGATCATAATATTACATTTTCATGGTTTCTTTTTAAAGTTCTAAATGTCTGCTTCTGTTAAAGGTCAATGTGTGTCACGTTTGCGTTTCATTTAATACCTTTCATGGAATGGTAAAATTGGCAAACATTGTCTTTAATCAACATCTTTCATTTCCTACTGTTTGACGAACAGATAATTGGCAAATAATTTGAGATCGAGAAATTATATTTTCATTTATATAACATTACTGATAATTTTTTACTCAATGTTCAGTAAAATTAAACTTTGACAGGTAGTTACAGAAATAATCCCAAGTGACCTACAGAAACATTTAATTGAAACGTTACTTCTGTGAGTTGTAATTTGAAACTATTTCACCTTACTCCAAAAGAGCGTAACTCATACTTCTATGAGTAATATTTTCTGTCGCAAATCAGTGTGTCAACTTCAAGCGCATTTAAATTGAGAACAAAAATAACAATTACATTACATAACATTACAGTGCATTTAAATTATTTTATATTTTGGAATGAAAATTCTTCGTCTGTAATAAACTGATAAGTGAAATGAAAGAAAACACGGATTTGATTGTTTCAATAATAAACACGAAGTTTACGTTAACATATGTTCTGTTTTAGTCAAAGATATTCCACGCCGCTCCAAGATAAGTGGACAAGATGACTTATTAGTTGCAAAAGACAAGAGTACACTTCCAGCAAAAACTCATTTAACAGATAGCAATATGAAGACTCGACATGAGCTGAACATTGGTATGTTGCGAATTCGACAATTTCTTTGCGACAAGAAGTGGGATGTCCAGAGTAATTTTACAGTTGACCCGCGTTTTGTGTCATTATGCCGACAACCAAACGGAACTCACGTGACTCATAATCACAAACTAGATGATAATTTAATTGTTGGCGAAGAACACGTAACACCCGAATGTTCAGGTAAACAAGAGTTATCAAAAGTTTACCAAAAAATATCAAACAGCAAACACTCAAAGGAAATACAGACATCTCCATCAATCCGTTTACAAGATATTTCAGTTACATCTGATATTCGGGAGAAGAGGCAGGATCAACGACCAAATGAATATGTAAAAGAGTCACCCCTAATTATGTCCCACACAACACGCCGAGCTCAGAGAAAGTCGCAATTTAGCCCAACGAGAATTCAAAAGCACACTTCAGCAGTCAAAAGGTGCGCTCCGAACCTGTCATTGGGTGGAAAGAGGCATATCAGCATTGCTCCAGGCATTGCCAAATTACACCTTCGCAAGGGATTGAACGTTGATAAGCGGCGAGTTGTGCGCTCACTCACGGGCATCACGCAACACTCCCGCTCTAAGCTGGGACCTCGCTCGCGACTCGCTCACAAACTTCAGCCTGATGGCTCTTCAAAGCGCCGTAGTCATAAACATACGCCCGCAGACACGTCGGCGGTCCCTGAAAAGAAGACGCCGCCTGCTGTATCAAAGAGGCGCGCAAGACGAGACGCTCGACGTCAAGATGAGTCTCCAACAAATGAACCTGTGGGGGCGAAGAAAACGCGCGAAGCTCGCAAAAAGAGAATTTTGACGACAACAACGGCCACGTCTCCGATACGAAAATTGCGAAAGACAAGGCGGGCACAGGCAGTCCATCAGCCTGCTGTGGACTCTGCAGAAAGCATTCAAAGCTCTTGTCTTTCGAGCGGTTCATCTCTGGCTCAGCCTGCAACCGGATCGCGGAAGACAAACCATGCTCAGCCCTCGCCCAGCAAGGCACCTCAAGTCAAAACGACATCTGCTGTGACCAAAATGTGTCGAAAGTCTGTCCAGAGCGAAGAAGATCCCACCACAGAACGAACGCCATCCACGCACAGAAGGCAGCAACTACAAAAGATGTCACCAACAGATTGCAGAAAGGTGCCATGCATTCCGGAAGCTGCAACTCTTCGGTCAAGGGATGGCAGACGGGAGGATGGCCCGAGACCGCCCCCGTCGGCCGCTCGAAGCGACCAGCGGCTTGCAACAGCCGGTTCCCCTCGCGACCGATCGCCTCCCGTGCCCCTTCAGCGCCTCCCGAGCAGCGCGTCCCGGCCTCCCACGGGCACCCCGCGCCGCGGCCGCACGCCCGTCACAGCGGACTCGCGCGGCGCACAGAAGCTTGCTTCCGCTGATCAGCGCCAGAGGTACGGGCCACCGTCAGCGAAGCGAGCGCGCCTCAACCGAACGCCGTCGGCAGCTTCGCGTCGCAGCCACAGGTCTCCTTCGGTCGACTCTCGGCGCTTGCGCGTCACCCCAACGCGTCGCTATTCGACGTCCGCGCGACCTTCGGACATCTCCGAGGAGACCTTCGCGCGAGACCAGCAGCAGCAGCAGCGCTTCCGAGAGCCCGAAGACCTGCGCTACGCGGACGAAAGACACGACACGCGGAGCATTCCAGGCCAAAGTGCGGGGGGTAAAGAGGGTCGAGCCCTGTACGGCAGGTACGACGCGTCGCCGCCGCCCCCGCCGCCGTCGCCGGCACCGGCACCGCCGCTCCATCGCCGATTCGCCCCCGCGCTCAGGCAGTGGCCGCTCCTGCGGAGGATGCGCACCGCGCTGCTGTCGCCTCTGTCCTGCGTCAAAGCCAAGATCGCCCCGTCGTCCACCTACACGGCTGGGCCTCGCAAAGACCACAAGCTGCGCCAGTATATTTCGGAGACCGAGGCATGAACTGTCCATCATTTAGCAGGCAATTCGCTAACGCACTTTGTTTGCGTGCTAGTGCAGTTTCACTATTGTAGCACTACATAATTGGAAGCTTAAGAAAAGATGTTATGCAGAAAATAAAGCATTTGTGTTCTCCCGCTATTTTTCCATATTTTTTATTAAATATATCAGGCTGGACTATCTCCACATAGTAATTCTTTAGTCTGGAAGGGAAATCAGAAACATTTCGAAAATGAATTTCCCCCAGTCAGACCCTGAGCTATATTTCATATCATTCAGGCCCTGTTTGCATACGTACTGTTAAGCCATTTAAAACAAACACAAATAATTAACACTCACATAATTAGATACAGAAAATCGAAGAGCTAACTCAATCATACATATATTTTGCATATATTTCTGCTTTAGACGTCCTCCGCTCTTTGAAGTGTGTGTACTCAGAAGACTTAAAATCTAAAAATGTATGAGGGTTCAAACAGAATACTAATTTTCAAGATTACAAGCGAAGGCTATTAAATAACGCCTCCTTTGGTGCTCCTAATACTGAAATTTATGAGTCAAGCACAGCTACTGATTTTTTCTGCCTGAAATCTGTGTGTTGAGTAGTTTCTGCGACTGATTACGTCGTTATAAAATATACAAAATTACAAAGTTCTACATTTTTGCTTTGATCTGCTTGATGCATATTTGGGGTAATTTTCTCTCCAGCATCATTTTTTTTCGTCATATTACCTTTGTATACACAGAAAAGTTTGCACGAAAACAATTACCAAGCATATCAAATACCAGTAGTACACATGACTTTGAAATATAACAGAGTTCAGTGGAAATATACGGCAAAGTCGTCGCTATTCTTAAACATCTCGGAATAAAGTATGACTGGTTGACAAGTTTTTTTCTCGTCTCACCTCCAGTGTTCCAGTAATCAGGTACTACCAAAAAAGTCATTTCACGAGTTTAAAATGATCTTAGACCTCCATTTTAAGTGGTCCAGAATTTAATAAATTGGTCGCTCGACTATTTCGAAAAAAATTAATATTTTGTACATAAATTTCCTTATGTATTGGCTGTTCAAAAACACCTTAAATCTTTTTTATTGTACCTAGATTACATATGGCGGCCATGTTCGTTGTACATTGTGCGCAATATTTCACGTTTGTATATTTACTCTTTTCTAAATTACTCAGTTTTGGGTTGCTCTAGCATTCTAGAATAAAACGCATTGGATTTAATAAACTCTGTCCTAGAAATCAAAATATTATTTGTATACCTTCTATGTTTTTATTTGGTCAATATTTGCAACCAAATCTATGGAACTCGAATGAATGAAATTCGATTTTCAGAGAGTAATTTCTCAAAGAAGGGATAGAATGATTACCATATTTTTTTCTGTGCTTTTACACTTAACAGTGTAGCTACTTTTTGTAAAATATCGTAGGTGAATAAAGTACCTCTTAAAAATTACATACTCTTAAAAATTGGAATTTTAGATTTTTTCCAAAATTTCAACTGTAATATGTGTTTAGGGGACCAGATAAAAATCTGAAAATTGTACACATGTTAGATCACTGTGATACCAAACCTAAGTAAAAGTTCAACTTTTAGAACTCTAACTCGAGAAAATTGTAAACTTACATTAAAAATGCTTCATTTACACATTGAGAATACGTTGTACCAAAGAGTAATTATATTATTTTGAAGCTATATTAAACTAAAATGTACATCAATTTAAAATAATTAATTATACTTTATTATTAAAAACTACAAAAGTAGTCTAATATATATTTTTCAGTATTGCGTAAAATTTGCTTTTAAACAAACTTACAACTTGGTATCTACGTTTGTAATTGAAAATATGGACATCTTGATTTTAAAGGCTGAACCGGCTTGTACAAAACGTATTTATTAAATATAACAAATATGTAAATTAAGCGTTTTGTTTTTTCTTTCGCGTTTAAATTTGCCATTCCCTGGTATGAACAGGGTGTTGATTCAGAAGTCTTCTTTTTCACTGGCGATTACAGAACTCGACTGAAACCATGATCATTAACTAGAATGGACAGAATGTACATTAATATCAGTTGACTGCGTGTATTACAAACCACCCTGGTTTGAGCATCCAAGAGAGATATGGAAGACTTAACAAGAGTGTGCACTACCCACGGATGAAAGGGCTCACTTTTCAAGTGAGGAAAGGTCCCCTCTACACACAGATAAACTGTGATTATGAATAGTAAAAAATATATCACATCATGATCAATTGCGCCTTAACAAATTTTTGAGGAAGAAAGCGAATTTCTGATAGCATTAATGCAGTCCAGTAATAGAAGAAAATGTAGCATTGATATTTAAAACGGATTTTGTTTTTCTTAAATTTGTGCACTCTTGGAAACAAAGTTTCGCGTCGAAAATGCCTTGGCCCGAGAGATTGAGGGCGCTGAACATCCCTGCTTGCCGACAGCGCTATCTAACATTTATTTTCGAAACTACGTCCTGTAGATCGAACTGTGAAGATTAAATTTATTATATTGGAGAGCGTATAAAATACTTTAACATCCATTGAGAGCAAAATAGTAGTAGTACAGAGGAAAAAGACTTAAGTGATTCCTGCCAGTGAAACTGAATTGACATTAATTTTTGTAAACGTAATATTTCTTTCATGTTTCGTACATATAAAATGTGTTATTATAAGAGGAGTGTTACATGAGCAAAAGAATGGCTGTGTCAAAGTGTTGTTTTACAACTCGTGTTCGATTAATATTTTATACATTGCCTACAGTGCCTTAAAATTCTCTTAATTACAACATTTTACATTTGTCTTGGCAATTTTATGCATAAAGCGGTGAAAATTCGCTTTCGCGAAGAAGGTGGATATTTCTATTCTGGAGAAATTATAAAATTGATCACTTGTATTAGAAACGAAATATATGCATTACTTAATGTGGAGATAACAATAATATATGTTAACCCTACAGCGTTCGAACATTTTTATAACTATTTAGTTAGCGCAGCGGTGTTTGCACCACCTATGCCTTTTTGAATATTTCTAAAAGATTTCAGCAGACATGAAGAGGACTAATAATACCAAAACATTACAATTTCTTAAATTTAAAAACCAAACAAAAAAGTCCCAAACTCACATGGAACAATCAACACATGTAAAAATTAAATGTTGGCCGATAATAATTAAGGGGTAGAGTTTCAAAATGGGACTTTTTCATTCCAGTCTGCTTTAAGAAACACAAGAAAATGTCAATCATTTGTTTAAAATATTCTGCTGCTAAATGTTTGGGATTAATGCCCTTGGCTAGTGAAAGTAAAAACAATAGAATAAGATAATTCCGGTATATCTAGTCATTATGAAGTTGAGCTAAAAATTTGAAAAAGTCTCATTTAGAAATTCAATTTTGAATATTTTTTTTGGATTTTTGGCGAAAACATTTTCCCGTGTAATCGAACTTGTTTTCATTAAATATTTTTATAAGTGTGTTAATTATTTATTTTCTATTTCAATATATCATGTGAAATTTTTCATCAAATATAAAGATCAGCAACCCCTAACTGCTGACTTTCACAATACTAATCATTTTCAGTATATGCTTGATCAATGCTTAGTCCAGTTAGCTTTCTATAGAATGATACATTTTCTGGATTGCAAAGCTCGTACTTGGCAACGAAATGAAGATTTTGGAAAGATCGCGTTCTGATATTAACACATTATTATGAAGCCTTCTGGAGGGACAAAAATCGCGTTTTCTTACAAATCATTTTACAGAACGACGCATAACTGCAACGGATCCTTATTTAAACCAATATCTCATTTTTCTCCAAAGGTGGAAAAGTTGTGTTTTGAAACTAGACCCCTCAATTCGCCGATTCTCACAATGTGAGAACAATTTTGCATTTATTTCAGTAGCATTGACATTTGATGCATTCGCAGATAACGCTTTGGCATTGCCTGCATCCGTTCATCATTTTATCAATGCTATGAAAGGAAACAATTTGAATATGTTTTCTCGCACACAATACGGTTGCAGGTATCGTAGATAACATCGTCAAGCAACATGAGATAGCCTCAGTATTCTTCTGAATGCTTTGAGTCCTGTAGTAATGCAAAGCCAACTTCTTAGATAAATTAACATCGAATAATAATAATAAGCCCTATCCGATGAGTATGTATATCCCTAAGAAATACCTGGCCACTGTTACTGGCTAAACTCGGTTGACAGATTTTTTAGGCAAAAGTGTTAAGAACGCGATCCAAACACCGCCCGTGTGCGGAAAGATCGAGAGGAGGAATCAAGAATTAAAAGCCACTTTAATATATTGCGCTGTTAAAAATAAAATGACTTATCTCGTAGAGCGCCACAACTGACCATGAATATGCGCTCGTAAAATAAAAAAAAATCACCATCAACAGGAAGACAAGAGAAGATACATCAGAAAGGGAATCACGCATCAACAAAGAATTCTAGCAACTCGAATTCAATTCCAATTTCCAATCAGTTCAGTTGTTGTGGGGCAAAAGTATATTCAAAATTTAAACTTAAACAGCTATTTTTGTCGGGGGATGCACAAACATTTTTTTTACTCTACAGCTACAAAATCTCAATACCCACATAACTAAGACCTCTCACATTAAAGCAAGGGATCTCAGACATATTCATCATCAGAACCAATGACCCACATTCATCATCAAAATCACGTTATCTAGCTCAGCGAAGACATTGCAAATTCAAAACCTTGTCACATTAAGAATTATTGTAATTGCCGAAAATCAACGGTTCCATCATCTTCATTCACATTATATATCAATAACATACGGGAATATATGCACGGAATTACTATTTTATTTATTTATACATAATAGAAATAAAAGTAATATCACGGCAAACAGGATATGTCAAAAGATTTAAAGAACTACTTACAGATACAAAAAGAAGTATTTTTCCTCTGTACTACTACTATTTATCTCT